CTGCGGCTGGGCAGGAGAGGGAGGGCTGGAAGGGCAGGGTTAGCAGAATGGGACCCTGGAGCTGGGCTTGTCCTGGGCCGTCCTGGGGCCTGAGTCTCAGCAGTACAGGAGACCCCTGGCCTGGCAGAGTCCACCTGTGTGTGTGCTCAAGGCTTCTGTCTGCACCACCTCTGTAACCTGGAGCTGGCTCGTCCTCCCTTCTCCCTGCAGGTTGGACAGGGGCCTCCCCTGCAGCCCCGTTGGGACCATTCATGAAAGCAGGTGTTGAGGCCGTGCCAGGGTGGGATGCAGGCCTGGGCCACCCTGGGAGTGTGAGTGAGGACACTCGGGAGGACAGTCAGGGAGCCCTGAGGCTGAGCCCAGCGCTGTCTGCAGTGGGTCCACCTGGCCGTGTGTGTACCTGCAGAGTCAGACATCGCTGGCTCCGAGCAGAGGGCAGAGGGGTCTTTGAAGTGCAGAAATGTGAGCAGAGCAGGGAGCGACTTTCTGAGTGCAGGAAGCAGCTGGGCTGGAGTGGGCTAGGACAGGGATCTGCCCAGGATGTGGAAGTGTGGGCTCTGGAGACTTCATCTCTGTGGCTGGCGCAGCTAAACTGAGAGCACAGGATGGGCTGGATGGGGGCCAGTGACCAAGCCTCACCTGACACGTGTGGAGCTATGAGCCAGTGTGGGCAGTGCCCCGCCCCTCCCCCACCCCCCTGGACCTGTCACAAGGCAACTGTGTGCCTCAGTCTCACCTGACTTTGTTTGCAGGGAAGGGCCAGCATGGGGACTGCTTGCATGGGGGCCATGCATCCATGCCTCTTCCTCTCCGCTGTGGTCATTCCTGGGGGTGGTCAGCTGAGTTGGGAACCTGTGAACAGTGGGCACCTCTGCACAATCCCCCTCCCTGGTCCTGATCTGGGCTCCCCACCCACCTTCTTGCTGTGACTGGTGCTAGTGGGGCCGACCTGTCCCAGCTTGTGCTGACTGCAGGTCTGTGCAGCTGCCCAGGCATCTGTGATGCCGAGTTTGTCTGCCACCTGTGAGTGAGGTTAGCCTGTGGCCATCTGAGATGAGGCTCCTGTCACGGCATCTTCAGGGCAGGACCTGTCTCTTGGTGAGTCTGCTCGAGAACAACATCAGTGTGCCTTAGAGGCCTCTCAGACACGGGATGGCCGGGCAGTTGGTACCTGGCCAAGCTCCTCCTGTGCCCAGGGCAGACACTGCTGATCAATCACAGACTTGCCCCGTGTCCGAGGAGCCTCCAGCCACCCCAGGCTCCAGGCAACCGCAGTAGTCGATGGCTTTGTGTGTGTCTGAGGGCCGTGGCCAGGCACCATTGTGACCATCTGAGACTCTGGGACGTCCTCTGTGGGTGGCTGCACCATCCTGGCCTGGGCATCTGGAGCCCCACAGCAAACATGGACGTGGGACCCTGAGTGAGAACGTCCATCATATCCATGGCGACTTTTGTGAGTGAGCGCAGAAGCAGATGGTTAAGGTACTGGTTAGCAACGGTTTACTACCCACATGGTTAAAAATTACAGTCTGAATGTAATTCTTGGCTCCCAGAACTAAACAGCAAAGCTCTAGGCAGGGTGGGCAGAGGCCCAGGCGCAGCATGGGCCCAGGGGGCCTTCTGTCCTTTGCTCTGTCTCCTTGACATTGGATGTCCCCGCCCATCAATACCCGACCCTGTGGTAACTGTGACCTGCTGGGAGCGTCCAGCCCGTGCCGATCGCCTATCACTCCTTCCAGGCCCCACGGGTGCCTCGGGTTTCTCTGTGCTGCTATTTTGGGCTGCCTGCCATCCTATCACCCTGCTCTGGACTTCACCCTGGCCATTTTGCTTCTGAGAGTCTCAGGCCTTCCCCTTTGAGCCTTTTCAGTAGTCTCACCATTTGCAGGCACTGCTGTCATGGGGCGCCGAGGGCCCAAATCTGTGGACAGCTCAGTGGGGTCCCAGGGGATGGGGCAGCCTGGCTGAGAGGCTGGGTCTGCACTTGGGATGGCTTTGACCAGCTCCCACGGGAACCAAGAGATAAACACCCCCAGCCACGGCTGCCCCAGAGACTCAAGAGCCACAGGAGGGTGCGAGGTCAGCTAGGCATAGTCTGCAGAAAACCAGCCTCAAGAAAAGAATTAAGGAGGTAAACAACAAAGCGGGAGACCCTGGAGGACGGGCCAGGGCAGTGTGGCAGTGACAGAGGGGCTGGTCTGGGCTGCGGCTGGATCCTGGGCATCCGTGAGCGGCGGATGCATTAATAACCTGGACAGAGCAGCGTGGGCGTGCACCCCACAGGTAGGAGGCCAGGAGCGTGCCGAGGCTGGCATTCCCATATTTTCAGACAGAGGTGGTTTTTCTGTCTGTTGTATGTTGAATTGTGTCCCTCAAAATGATGGGTTCCTGTGCTAACTCCCAGCACCTGTCTGAATGTGGCCTTATTTGGAAATAGGGCCTTTGCAGATGTAATCAGGTTAAGCTGAGGCTGCTAGGTCACTGGTGTCCTCATAAGAAGAGAGCCTGAGAAGAAGACCAAGAGATGACGGGGGCGGGAATTGGAAGGCCCAGGGTCACTGCAGCCACCAGAAACAGAGTCTGGGAGGGACCACGGCTCTGGTGACACCCAGATTTAGGACTGCGGCCTCCAGAACAAATGCCTGTTGTTTAAGTTGCCCAGTGTATTTCTGTTTCCTGCGCAGCCCTAGACACCTGCTCTCGGAGGGATCTTAGTGTGCCCACACAACCGGGGCATGGCGGGGGGCGTGGGGGTGGCTTCTAGTTTCATGCATCAGCACCGGCTTGTCCAAAGCACGTTGTCCAGAATCGAGGCTCCTGAGGGACGAGGGTCTTGGGTTGGCAGCTGCTGGTCATGTGGCCACCCGTTTGAGGGCTGCACTGGGACTGGGGTGCCCTCTGAGTTCACTTTGAGGTGGCCCTGCCTGGAGGGTGTCACCTCACTCCCCCTTCCAGACAAAGAGGCAGGCTCTGAAGGACGAGTCATGTTGAAGCACTGGTCAGCAAATGCCTTAGGTGTCAGGTCGGAGGAGTAGTTCATTAGTGACCACCTCACGGACAGGGTGAGAGTGGTGTCCCAAGCACTGCCCCCCTTGGTCCAGCCACCATGGATGGATGACTCCAGTGAACTGCTCCATGCCTGGCCCTGCCCTGAGGAGGCAGCTGGCCCTGGTAGCCTGGACACCATGAGCCTCTGGGGGGGCTGAGGTCAGACAGAGGCATCCGGGGCAAGGTGGGTGGCAACACAGAGTGGCCCCAGCCAACCTGCAGAGCTTAAAAGAGCAGCTGCGGACCAAGCTCATGCCACTGCCTGTCTGCAAATTACAGTGGTGGACACACCCCATAAATCAGAGTGTCTTCAACGTGCATGCGCAGATCTGCTCAGACGCTCATTTACCCGTGGTCACGTCTTGGAAGCCTGACCCTCTTATCAGGAGGAAGGCATCACCTCGTTATCCGGGATGCACTTCCCCGGCTGTATTTATGGTCTGCTTGTTTATTTATGTGTCTGTTTTCGCCTTTTTGTTAAAGCAGTGTATAATTTGGCGTGTAATTCAGTAGTGTGAGTCAAAATCCACAGCTGTAGCCTGCAGGGGAGGTGGCACCGGGGTTTTGCTCCTTGTTGGACAGTCTTGGCCGTTGGGGGCAGAGGCAGCCGCAGTCCTGGGGGAGGCTCTGGCTGCCCCCACGTTCTTCCTCTGAGCTTCCCACTCCGGCCATGGCCGCTCAGCTCGCGCACGCTGGGCTCCAGGCAGCTGGGCCAGGTCTCCTTGGACGGCTCCATCCTGAGCCCTGCCCCAGACTGTGGGCAAACCGGGCTGGGCCAGGCATGTCTGGTGACCTCTGGAGATGCCCCCTTGCCTCCTGGGTCACAGCCAGACATAGGTACTCCCCAGGTCCAGGTGGCCTGAGCAGTGTTGGAGTGAGGGAGCCATGTGGCCGTCCACCCACTGTGTCCTGCGGGTTTGTGCATGACTGCCCTGGCTGAGCCCTAGGCTGGGTTAGGGGACCTGGAGGTGACAGAGGACACTGAGGCAGGGGAAATCCTGTGCAGTCAGCTGCCTGGAGGGTGCAGGGGCTGCCTGGAGGAGGGGGCGTCTGAGGCAATGGTAGAAGGAGCTGTACAGATGGGAAGGGAGCAGGGAGCCTCCTGCTGCTCGCTCCACAGGGGTGGGGACCACCACCCCTCGTCCCACCTGCACCTACCGCCCCCTCCTGGGTGGTCACCTCCCTGTCGTGCCCCCTTGTGCAGCCCCCTGTCTCCCTGCGGACCCCAGCATGGCACTTATGGCAGTGGGCTGGAGCCCTGAATCTGTGCATCGCTGCGGTGCCATCTCCCCAGCTGGAAGGAGCCCCGAGGAGGGACGCCTTTCCTCTGCCCAACCTGGTGGTCTGGGACCGCATGGAGGACGGCATGCAGTCGGTGCTCACTAGTGCTGAGAGAGGCAGTGAGTGACCAGGACCTCCGGTGGCTCCAGGGAGGGGCCGCCCTGGAGCGAATGCGGCAGCTGGGCTGCGGGACAGCCTCGGTCCTCCCACGAGGCTCGAGATTTTCTTCTTTATACCACCGTTGAGCGCTGGCTGTCTCCGTTTGTCAGCGCTGTATTTAGCATGTACTGGTGGTGGCCACGCGCATTTGCAGGCAGGACGATGACCTCAGTTAGGGGCTTATTTGCAGGGTGGAACTCCCTGCGTTCACCACCCCTCTCCTGAGCTGCCTCCCCACCACTCCTCGGAGAGACTGGGGTTCTCCTTGGGATTAGGAGAGAAGTGGGGGACAAGGGAAGCCAGGGAAGCAGTTGGAGTTGGTGCCTTTGGAAGACACGCATCCCTTCTTTGTGCCCTGACTGTACAGAGCCAGACCTGGGCCTTGTGGCCTTCGCCACACTCGTGCTGTGCCATGGGGTGTCTGTAATGTGGAGCACGGGCAGTGTCCACAGGGAGATGGGATGTGGGCACATCCATGTAGCGCATGCACACCAGTGTGTACCTGGGTCTCCATGGACACACGCACCCTGTTGGAGCATGTCCACGTGTACCTGGATGTCGTCTGTGTGAGCCTGTACGTGGTCTGCTCCATGTCCACCTACCAGGCATGTGGTACATCTGTGCCTGCACAGGCATGTCATGTACATGTGTGTATGCGTGTGTGGGAGCGTGCTGGCCTGTGGGGGGCTGAGAAAGCTATGAAGTCCTGACGTGGGGCGTGTAGTGGCCTCATCCTGCTCTCACTCTATACCCACGTGGGGAGCCCACCCTGTGCAACCTTAGCAACCTGAGGGCGGGCCTGGTGTTGCCTGACTCCCGGAGGCCACGTGCTCAGAACGGCGTGCTAGCTAGTGCTTGGGGACAGAGGCTGAGGGGCCCACTTGCTTTGCAAATGCTGAGAGCTGTGCAGTCGGGTTCCCTCCCATGGGATGCTGCACGTGCGCATGGGGGGCTGCTCTCCCTCCCTGCTGTGGCCCTTTCCTTTCCAGTGTGCCTGATGTGGGGCTGCGTTCATTTCCTCTCTGCCGGGCCGGGCTGCCCAAAGACCACCCTGCTAGAGCAGAGGTCACGGGCTTGATCCGGCCCTGGCTTCCGGGGAGCACTTTCGGATGGCATCCTCCCCGGTGGTCTCGCGCGCTCCTCTGAGCAGGGCCTCCCGCCTGGAGGCTGGGGCCCGCCGTGGACCCCTGCGTGGTGGGATCTGGGCGGACCTCCCCATGCAGGGGCATGGGAGCTGGCTTGGCCAGCCGCTGGTCTCCGGGGGTGGCCACTCAGTCTGCGTCTGCTACTCTCCACAGGTCAGCTGGCCGCCGGCACCTGTGAGATTGTGACCCTGGACCGGGACAGCAGCCAGCCTCGGAGGACTATCGCCAGGCAGACGGCTCGCTGCGCATGCAGGAAGGGGCAGATCGCTGGCACCACGAGGGCCCGGCCCGCCTGTGTGGATGGTAAGAGCCACAGCCCAGGCAGCACACTGGGTGCTGAGAACGGCATCCCCCGGGGCGGCTGCGAGGGCCGGGTGTCCGCCCTGACATGGCCTCTCCCCAGGATGTCCCACCAGGGCCTCGAGCTCAGGCCGCTGGTCCTTCCGGCTGGTACGTGCAGCGCGACTGCTCCAGTGGGTAGCACTGGCTTGTTCTCACCATGCATAGTTTCTGGGGTGCAGCAGGGTGGCAGGGATCTGCCATCTCCAGGCATGCCCAGATGTGGGGTCCCTGCCGCACTTGCTCATGGGTGGGGATTTCCGGGTCGAGGCTGGAGCCAGTTGGTGTTGCTGCAGAGAGAAGGGCAGGTGGGCAGAGGGGGTCCATCTGCAAGATGGCCCAGGGCTCACGGGTGCCTGTTACATCTGTCCTCCTGTGGTTTCTGGGAAGGCTGCTGGTAAGGACCAGGACTCCCCACCCTGTGTGTCTGGCTGGTACCAGGCACCCATGTGCCCTGGGCTTGGTAGAAGCCGTGGCCCCATCATCCCCATGGCTCTGCGGATGAGCAGATGAGCCATGCTGTTGGCTGCTGGAGACTCCCCAGATGCCCTCAAAAATCGTGCTGCCAGTGAGATGTGCCGTGTTTCGATCCTTGCTTAATTAATGCCCAGAAAGGGCACTTTCCATGCGGTGGTACCATTGGGGATCTTCTATGGAAACAGAATCACAAATGGTCGTTAAGGGGAGGAAGGGGCCCCCTGCAGCTTCTGTCGCAGCATCCGACACGAGATCTGCTGCTGGAGAGGCCACTGTGTGTGCGCCACACCGAGTGACCTGCCCGGCCCCGTGGGGCTCAGCATGAGACCTGGGAACCCCACAGCCAGGACCTCCCTGAGGGCCACAGTGTGTCCAAGCTGGGGTTGGCATGGAGGGCTGGCACTGGAGCCAGCCAGAAACCCCACTCAGGGCCCCTGTTTGTCCCGAGCAGGCGGGGAGACCCCCTCTCTGGGGCAGACCTAGGAGGCTACTGTGGGCCTGGCCAGCAGCAGCTGTGTGTGCCACTCCAGGTGGCCTTGGGGTGAATGACCCCATGCTGGGGTGTGGGGGGCCTTGGTTCCAGGCACAGGAGTGGAATCACAGCCCAGCAGAGGGTGCAGGCAGGGAGGGCCGCCTCCCACGGGTGTCTGGCAGAGTCTCCTGTGGGACCTCCTCGTGGGGTGTAGGGAAACCATCAGCCTGAGTGGTGGGAGTGGGCTTGGGCTGCTGCGGGGTCTCCCTAGAGCCGTGTCCTGGGGGAGGGAGAGAAGCGAGTCCCTGCGGTGGCCACGGTGGAGATGGGCTGGGGAGGGACAGGGGCAGGGCAGACAGGGAGGGGCCGAGGTGCCCCTGCTGCAGCAGGGTGGGGGGCGGGGGACCTATGGCTGGCCTGGTGGCTTCTCCAGGCTGGGGTGGACTTCAGGGAAACTGTGTCCTTGGCCTCCTGCACCCAGAAATGGGTCCTGGTGTCCGACAGGCCGGGCCCACAGCCCACAAGCCGCTTACACTGCCCAGTTGTGGGGAGCATGGTCAGGGAGACCCTGAGTGATGTCTTCCAGGCATCAGCCCATCCATCCCCAGGGAGGGCGCAGTACTGGTCAGTGTCACCAGAGTTGGGTTTAGAGCCTGGACTTTCTGGTTCTGCTCAAGGTCTTTCTCTCACGGCCTCTGCATGGAGCTCTGGCTCTAGGTTTGAATCCTGCTGCCTCTGCTCAGGAGCTGGCATAGGTGGGCCCAAGGCAGGGCGCTTTGGTCCCATGCGGTGTCCAGCAGGAGAGGGAAGAAGGGGAGCACAGGGCCCTGGGCTCCTGGCCTGCAGATGCCCTGTGCACCTTTGGGGCTGAGCACATTGCTGGGGTCTGACCTGGAGGCCTGGGTGCCCAGGAGGCAGTACCCCGAAGAGCCAAAAGCCTGGGCCAACCCGCCCTCACTGCCTCCCCTGCACGCGCCACCCACATCCCTGTGGCTTTTGGGAAATTCTGGGGCACTCAGAAACTGTGGGAGACGATGCTGTGCTGGCTGGCTGGGGGCTGGCTGGAATGGAACAGTTGCAAGGCCTCGGGTGCATATTGCTGGCCTGGAGCAGAGAGAAGCGCATCACTGGACCATGGGTCTGTCCTTATTAAAAACGCCTGTTAATTTGCACCCGTAGAAGGCAGCTGATTGGACAGCCGGGTCTGCAGCTGCTTTAGGGTGGCTGCGTGGATCCTGGGGCTCCGTCCTGCCAGGCCCAAGTCTGGGTAAATTTGGGCCAGAAGGGACGGCCATCTCACTTCTCCATGAACCAAATTAATACCGCATCTGCCGCCCTCCCCAACCCCTGTGGCTGGAAGCAGCTCACTGCGGTGGCCCCGCTACCTCTCAGGCGACATGGTCCTCCCAAGACCTAGGGGACGGAGGTGCTCTGCAGGGCCGGGCGCTCTGCCCGAGTCCTTCAGCGCTTCTCATTAGCTCTGCCTGCCCGTGGGCAGAGTTGGGGTCAACACTGATTCCTAATTGGGTCTGGGTCTGCTCATCAGAAACCCCGTTCTCCCCTCTCCCTGTGAGCCTCCCAGCATCTCAGGAGCCAGGTCCCAGAGACCCAAATTAACACCTCGCTGTTTTCAAGGGAGGCCAAACAAATTAGCTAGCTTGCATTTTTGCACAGTGGACATTTTCCAGGCTGCCTTCTAATTTGATTTTTGCTCTTCTGTTTTCTTGCTCTGTTTGCATGATAAGTGTCCTTGCGTGTGAGTCGTGTCTGCTGAGGAGGAAGCGTGGGCTGCGTTGGTTTGGGCTGGAACTTGGTGAGAGCAGGTTTTAAACTGCGATGGTTTATGTGGACCCTAAAGTGTTCAATGAGCACAGGAGCCCTGAATGCCACAGCAGACCTGCCTCTGTTCCTTTGTTTATCTGTTTATTAATTGGCCTTTTTTTTATTATTTACTTTTATTTTTTGACCTGTAAGGGGATTGCAATCCTCAGCATGGTGTGGTCTGCACCATGCTCAGCCAGTGAGCGCACTCGCCATCCCTAAATAGGATCCAAACTCGTGGCCTCGGCGCTCCCAGTGCCGCACTCACCCGAGTGAGCCACGGGGCCAGCCCATAATTGGCTTTTTAATTGTTCATATGTTCACTCACTCATTCACTGAAATAAGCTGTATGCTCGTGGGTGTAGAGGAGGTGTAAGAGGAGATAGACTCTTAAAATGCCTGATGCATGGGTACACACAGTGCTGCAGGTGCTGGGGCCCCAGAGGACAGCCACCTTGGCATGGATGCATCACGAGGGAGCAACTGAACAGGGTGTTGAGGGATGAAGAGGAGCTCACCAGAAAAGCTCCTCTTCGTGAAAGGAGAGGCTGGTGAGAGGGGAACGCCCGGGTTTGAACAGCCTCCACCTTACAGAACAATCGGGAAAGAGATTCAGAAACAGTCCAGCCACATGCCACAGGGCTTCCCATCCCTACAAAGACATACCAGCAATAGAGATGCTTTCTCCCGTAAGCTGGGTTCTTGTGAAACTCAATTTGAAAGAAATCAAGTAAAGACAGCAGCCTCATGCCCAGGGGCAGGTGCAGGCAGCTGGTGGTCGGGCTGTGGGGCTGTGTTGGGAGCAGTGCTGCCCCAGGCCCATGAGGGGCAGGATGTTAGTGGGTCTTAGGCCTAGAACTGGTAGGTTTCCCTGAGGGATCTGGGGAGGGCAGGCTGGTGTTGGGCCATGCAGAGACGTGCTGTGAGGGCTGTGGCTGGCCTCTGGGATGGGGAACACACCCTGGGCTGGCAGACAGGTCCCGGGATGGTGTGCCAGGAAGTTAGACCTCCCTTCATGCATGGCCAGCGGGTTTTCCAATCAGGACGCTCTTTCAGGGCCCTGCCAGGACCCTCCTGGCTGACGTGACTGACCTGTGACACCTGCCCATCTTCCGGGTGAATGTGCTTATCTGCACATCTGGATTGGAACTCATAACACGCATTTCTAGGGCAGGCTGCAAGGCAAAATAGTTTCAGGGTGTGGAGTCAAAAGCTGCAGCTCCAAGTGCCACCTCTGCTCACTGGCTGGTGTCGTGGGCTGAGCCTGCGTCTTTGCCCACAGACAGGGATGGCAGCTGCAGTCACAGACTCTCATGAGGGTGGCATGAGGTGCAGTGTGCACAGGCCCTTTGTAGACTGGTGCCTGCTGGCCCAGCTCAGGGAGCCGCTCCTGTTTTTCCCATTAACACAGTTCCTAGCAACACGTCAGGCAGGTGTGCTCCAGGCATGGCCTTGGGGGATGCTGCTTGGGATATGTGGCCAGCAGACGTGTTTGGGACTGGTCCACATGCAGAGGTTGCTGTGTTCTGTTGAGGGTGGAGTCCCCTTGACAGCAAGGAAGGGAAGATCCAGAAGGGCCCAGGATGGAGCCCCAAAGAGACGTGAGGAACTGAGTCCAGAGACAGACCCTCAGTACATGCACAGCTGATTTCAACAAGGAACAGGCAAAGAACAGTCCTCAGGCCAGCAAATGTCCTGAGATGTGCTGGGTGTGGGCCCACCGCAGTGGCTGTGATCCCACCACTGTCCGGGGGCGTGGGCATGATGGCTCGGTTCTGCAGCTCAGGGAGACCCTGCGGCTTCCCGAGGCTGCAGGCTGGCCAGGACTGCAGCTGGGTCCAGCCAGGGTCCCCTGAACCCTGGCTGGGAATTCCTGCTCTGCCACGCATGGGGTGCACAGGTGCCAGCGTGAGCAGATGGGGGCGCTCAGCTTGGTAGGTGATGACGGCACCTGTTGGGTCCGATCACCACAGGCCCTCAGGACACTTGTAGTTCTCACATCCTGTCACTGCCCAAGGCCTTTTTGCTGCTGAATCAGAGCCTGGGAGAGGGTGGTGTGTTGCAAACTCTTGAGAACAGGAACAAGGCCTGGAGAATGCCTTCCCGGGCACATCTGCCATTCCCGTGGACCGCCAGGATGCAGATGGAGTCTGAGACGCCTCGTGAGGTCGCACCATGTCAGCTCTGCACAGCGCTAGTTTGGGGGAAGGTGGTGGGATGCATGTAGGGAGGCCCCGCAGCACAGGATGGGGAGTCACATCGGGCCCCACCAGTGCAGGCTGGCAGGCATGGCTGGCACAGTCCACAGTGCAGGGCAGCCCAAGGCACGTGGGCTTGCTGG